GTTCCCCTTCAGTATGTAATCCATAAACTGTAGAAATAAGGATATCCTTGTTGAGGAGATTGTTGTGAAAGAGGATGCTGATAATTTGATCACCCAAGATTCTGTTGACACAATGAAGGTGGGATTCATCCCAAAAAATCCAAGCTTTGTTGTTTAAGGCCACTACATAGGACTGGAAACCAAATTTCTTAGCATAAGAGATAATTTTTTCTTCTTTAACAAATGGCTCTAGAATAGCCAGAAAATGAACCCTATGAATTTGGATGAGGGAAAGAAGCCTGGGTAATGAGCCTCTTACACCTCTAATATTCCAAAATAACAGGTTCATGAGGGGCCTGGAGGGGGTTCATCTAGCGCTGCTTTCATGCCCCTAGTCTGGCATGATAGCTTAACAAAATTGTGTGCATACCCCCCTCCTCTAGTAATTAGAAGGCCTGGGCTCCCAGGTTTTGGTGTATTGAGTTCAAATGGTTCAAGAGGGGACTGATCCATAACCTCATGTTCATCAAGATCTGAATGAGTAGTAATTTCATTGATGTCTTCAAGTTTAGATTCCTTCAAACCAAGTACTTGCTGTAAGAATTCATCACTGGCTCTGTTTCCCTTGGATACGGCCATGTCATCCTTACTTCCTTTATGCATATACTTCTTGAGAAAATGGTCTTCCAAGGGGGAGATGGGATCGGTGACTATCACCAAGGATGGGGCCAAAGAATGGGTAGGGGAGGGCCTAAGTGTGGGGACAGGGGAGAGAACCTGTGAGGTGCCTGCAGCGTGGGCCTTGGAGGAGTCCACATGATCTGCTGTTTCCAATTGTAAAGTAGTACATGGCTTGGGCATAATAATGTTAGTGCACGACCCCCCATTCTGAAAAGAGGTCCTTCCCACTTTTGGTGCTTTCTTTTTGTGCTCTACCAGGACCCATTTCCCCTTTGTCTCTTGGTGTTTGGAGTGGTCCAGGCATCCATTACCTCCGGTCTGAAAATTCCCACCGGTGAGGATTTTTCCGGTGGGCTCGTTGGAGGGGATTTTCCCAGTATAGCAAGAGTGTCCAAACCTGCTACATTTAGAGCAAAAAATGGGCACATCCTGGAAACTAACCGGAAAGAAATAAATTGTTTCCCCAATTCTGACCTTAATCTTGCTAGGAAGTTGCTTAGAAAGATCGACCTCTACCAGAACCCTAGCAGTGTTCAAATATTCTGCCTGAACTGTACGCTCGTCCATTTTGATAGGTATTCCAATAAGCCTCGTAATGGGAAGAAGAGCTCTAGGATCTTGAAGGTGTATGGGAATTTGCTTGATAGTAGCCCAAATAGGGAAGAGAGGGCTTTCTTTAGATTGTAAGTATGAAGGAGACCATTTGGAGAGATACAACCTGCCATCCAAAACCTTCCAGCTCCGCCTAGTAAGGAGTCTGTAATAATCTTCTTCTTCTGAAAAAACAATGAGCACCTGGAACCGAGTAAGAGAGCTGATCCTGAAGCCACCAAAATTTGCACGTTTGAGGCTCTCTGCAATATCAATGTTGTGGATAACTTTTGCCATTCTTCCAGTGACTCCATACTTGTATTTGGAGGAGAATTGCTGAATGTCATCATTGGAGAATGTGAGAACAGGCCCATTCTCCCCTTCATCTTTGATCTGACCAAAGTGGTTGGGTCCTTTGATTACTTCCGAGAAGAGTTTTCGTAAGCCATTCTTCTTGGGTTGCTCCGGCTTAGTGGCATTATTCCGATTCCAGGTACTGGGTTCCTGTACCTGATTACCCGCCGGAGTTCTCGACGGAAGTCTCGCCGGACCTCTCTCTCTCATGTTTTTAATGATATATATATATATATATATATATATATATATATATATATATATATATATATATATGATGGGTTTAGAGAGAGAGAGGTTCTCTAGCCATTTGGGTGATTTTCGTCGTCGCCCTGGTCATCATCTCCGATCAAAGTCTAGGGAAAGGTTTTTACCACTAACAAAAGGAAATCGGCGATTCACTGACGGGCGGCCTTGGAGATACCATTCAGATTGGTTCTATTGGACTCGAGATCACAATTTTTAGGGATGGGCTCCCTCCCTTCATCGCTCCCTCAGAGACCATAATAACCCAATTGGATCACGCTTCTTCGACGATAAACAGGGACTGCGACACCGAAGGGACAATAGGAAATTCAGGCAGCGTTGGGATTCCAAATACAGAACGAGGTACGAACCTGCTGGGAAATTTCATCCCTATGCTGGTCCATTCTCCAAATCCCATGGATTACTATCCATATATCTTGAAAGCAAAAGGTATGACTTTCATCATTCAGGTTCCCTTCATATTTCAGAGCTCAGGAAAGGATATTTTCGTACTATTTCTGTTTCTACTCCATTGGCTTTTTGGATGCTTGAATTGCTGGAGCATCATCTTATGGAACAAACTGATTGGGCATTAACTCGATTTGAGGGGAAAAACTCAGTTAATATCACTTGGGACTCAAATTTTTTTGGGAATTTTGTGAAGATTACTTCTGTTCTTGATGGAAATCGATCCACTATTTGTGTTCCATTTGGTGAGGGTAAACTTGGACTGAAGTTCTTTATTAAGGCACTT